AGACAAAAAAAAAAAAAAAAACAGTAAAGAAATTGAAAAAAAAATAAAATAACAAAAAAAAAAAAAATAAGAGCAAAAAAAAAAAAAAAAAAAAAAAAAAAAAAAAAAAAAAAAAAAAAAAAAAAAAAAAAAACCCAAAAAAGAAAAAAGAAAAAAGAAAAAAAAAAAAAAAAATTAACATTATTTATCTTTATTTATGTTAGTTGATTTTTGTATTTTTATTCTAGAGAGAAATTTATTTAAGTAAGTTTAGATATTAGCTTTATAACTATGGTCTTGACAATTCGACTATTGACTAGTTTGAATTTTTAAAATCTTTCGCAATGGTTCATCTTGCCTCTATTGTTATCTAATAAAAATTTCAAAAATTTGAATCATTTTGCGTGTTTCTATTGCTGCTCGACAAAGAAAAAAAAAAAAAATGCGCTTTTGACGAGTGTCTGTTTAGTGACAAAAAACCAAACAAAGGCCTTTCAAATAAACGATACCAAAGCTAAACAGTAAATTTTTGACTTTTTAAATAATAATAATTATATTATTATTATTATTATTCATTTGTAATTGTGAAAAATGAACGTGCTATAAAAAAAAAAATGGCTAGAAGATTTTCAACAGCATAATAACATTAGCTCCGCGATCTTTCTCGGTGCTCACTTGGCGCGCGTTAATGCTTGTTTTGACGTTAATGTTGTTTTTAATTCACCTACCAAAAGTTCTTAACCATTGTTAGTAGTAATTTAATTAAAGCCGGCGCCGGTGAAAATGTTATTCGATCGCAAGCAACTTGAAATTTAACAATAACACGCGTCGTATCCTTAACGAGCTTCACCAAAATTGATGAGGAGAAACATTTTTTTTAGAAGGTGCAGTTCAAAACTGCATAAGTAACAAGGACTTTGATTTTTATTACTTTCTTCGCCTATACCAAAGCGAACAGAGTGAACTGTTTTATTTTTCTTAATTTTACGAAATTAACTGTCGACATTATTGCAACTTATCACATTAATACACAAGATACCCTTGGACACAAAATTGACGTAAATATTGGTTAAAAAAGAATTAATACTGATTAACTTATCGGAAAAAGTACTACGCAAAATACAATGCGGTATATAAGCCATTAATCGTCGTGACAAAGAGCTCAACTATCGGTGTCCGCCAAAGAGATGCCCTTCTTCTTACACATCTCCAAAGCTTTGGGTTGCCCTTGTAATGCTGCTAATCTAAGAAATCGTTTCCCCTTTTCTACATCTGGATCCACACCCAATCCATTATAATAGATATTCCCTACATTATACATAGCAGTGGTGTTGCCGTTACCATTATCCGCTGACCTCTGGAAATATTCAATCGCTCCTTTGTAATTACGCTGAACTCCTTCTCCAGACCATAGACAATGTCCATAGCGTAATTGTGCATCGGCTATTCCTACATCTGCCGCCTCTCTAAACAGCGATGCCGCCTGTTCTAATCTTATTTTTCTGGATTCTTCGTCATTAGGGTCGTCGACAGGGCACAGATCGTAATAAAGGTAATATCCCATCCAATATCTTTTTTATTGAACAATTAATTTTTTATAAGAGAGTATTAAACAAAGAGTTGAAAAATGTACTCATAAAGAAGTTACCTGGCAGTCATATCACCGAATTCTTCTGCGTGCATCTTAAACGCTTCCCAGACTCTCTCTTTGTCACCGTCCCTTCTTTTATGTTCAGCAATTGCTTCTTTAACACTCATAGTAAGATCATCAATTCCAAGGTCATCGTCTACTCCTGGCAACTCATCTTCGGAAGGTATGTGATTTGAAGATGGTCGAGGGGATCTCTGTGGTTGGTTTTTTTGATGGAAGCTATACAAGATCATAAATATATCCTTCAGTGCCGGACGTGCATTTGGATGATCATGCATCGCTATGAGGTAAACAAATAAGTTGATTTTGCGCCGAATAGCAACAATTCTCTCTACATAATCGAATTACCTTGATAAGAAATTTTCGACCATTCCGGTGGCACATTCGAACTGAAAGGTGGGCGCCTTTTCTGTTCAACCACAAGTTTACGAATCACCAGTAAATCTTGTTCTTCTGCAAATGGAATCTGCCCTTCTGAAATCTCCCACAAAAGCATACCGAAACTAAATTCACGTTAGTTTAATATATACTGTATATATAGTTAAAGTGGCAAAGAAACTTTCCGAATGCTTACCTATAAATTTCACACTTTGTATTATACTTATTCTCGTGATTTTCCAACTTTTCAGGAGCCATCCACCTTACGTTGTCAATTGTCGGTCGAATATCTTTTGTGGGATCATTGGCCCCACGACTTAGACTGAAATTTGCAATCTTCGCTTGCCTATATTCCGTAATCAAAACATTTTCGGAACGGATGTCGTGATGCAATATTGAGACAGCGTGTAAAAATGTCAATCCGCGAGCGATATCCACCGCAAACTGTGCCCTTTGACACCAATCCATAATATTATTTTGATAGTACTCCTGTAAATTACCCAATTCGCACCATTCGGTTACCATGTACATGGCGTTCGCATCTTGTGCGATACCAAAGAATTTGAGTATGTATGTAGATTCCTTGAGTTTTTTCAATATTACAACTTGACTAATGATATCATTCATGAATTTTTTTTCGTTTTCCTTAAGGATCTTTTCCTTGATTGCGACCTGTTCACCCAGGCGTATCTTTTTAAAAACACGCTTGCCTCGTCTTACTGCCACCAGCGGATCGTGCAATTCTTCAAGACTTATTGTCGCTGATTTAATCACTCCTTGATCTTGGTTCAATAACTTATTTTGCCATGCAAGATTCAGTTGTGTGATATCCTCCAAGGTGGAATTAATTTCTGACATGCTGTTTACGATGCCGCCCTCGATCTCCTTAAGATACTGTGAGATATATTAAGAAGACAATTTTAATTAAGCAGATATTGTGACCCAATTCACAGTTAAAAGAATTACATTCTCAAACCTTTCTCATTTCCGAAATGTCATGTCTAAGAATTTTCTGATCTTCCTTCATCTGAATCTGATTTTGGACGGCAATTGTAAAATTCATTACCCTCATCAGTCCATCAAACTCCGATGTCAATGCTTGAAATTCATCTTCGATAGATCTTGCAAC